ACACAAAACGAAGGTGGATGTGAGATTGCGCCACGCCTGCCACGTGATGTCACCAAGTGCCACGCCTGCCACGCAAAGTGCCGCGGCGTCACGCGCGACCAAGCGGGCCCAAGTGCGCCACCCAGTGCCATGAGTGCCACGCCTGCCACGCAAAACGACCGTGGATGTGAGATTGTGCCACGCCTGCCACGTGAAACCAAGGTGGATGTCACCAAGCGCCACGCCTGCCACGCAAAGTTTCGCGGCGTCTGTGAAAGATGGTATGCAACAAGGTGGTATTTGACAGATGGTGTGTGACAAAAAGATGACAAAAAGATGGTGTGTGCAAGATGGTTGTTGACAGATGGTGTGTGACAAAGTTGTGTGTGAAGTTATTGTATGTGAAAGATGGTGTGTGACAAGATGGTATTTGACAGATGGTATGTGACAAAGTTGTGTGTTAAGTTTGTATGTGCGTGAAGTCATTGTATGTGAAAGATGGTATGTGACAAGACGGTATTTGACAGATGGTATGTGACAAAGTTGTGTGTTAAGTTTGCGTGTGTGAAGTTATTGTATGTGAAAGATGGTATGTGACAAGATGGTATTGGACAGATGGTGTGTGACAAAGTTGTGTGTGAAGTTATTGTATGTAAAAGACGACAAAGTTGTGTGTGAAGTTATTGTGTGTGAAAGATGGTATGTGACAAAGATGGGCAAGAGGAAGCGGGAGGAGGAGGAGGAGGCGGGGCACCTGGGATACAGAATCAAAATCAAGAACCCCACCGCACTGTTTGCCGTGTTGTTGCAAGGTCGTCGTCATGCAGCTGCCCTATATGATTGGTGTGATTTGAAATGACCGCTATGGCCTTCCAATGCAGTCATTGAAATGGGCCTTGATTCGTTTCAAGAACCAAGCGCGTGTGACCTTGGGAAGATGCCAATAGGCACTGTGTATGTGCTCAAAAAAGGAAAAGAGAAGTGACGTTAAATGGGTGTTTGTTTTCTATGCTGGCAGCATTCAACTTGAACTGTGTTCGATCAATGGGCTTGAAACAACAGCAGTAAGTAGTTTTTAACAGCCCATGAGCTCTCATGTTGCTAAAGTCACAACTTGGACAATGTAGTGAATCTCAATTCGGGGTTCTTTGATGTTTCTGTGCATCAATATATTCCGTCTCCAGGCAGGGGGATGAATTCGCCGGACAATGCAGGGAACAAATGGTTTATTCTCTTTTTGATCCCCCGCCGTCCGGAGATGAACCCCTCTTGTCTGGAGCTAGGGGTGCGGAAAAACATGTTTCCTTTTTATGTGGCTTTTGAAACCCCTTCCTATACGTCTCCCCTTTGTAGGAAGCCGCTCCGTGGGGTTCCTCCCCAGTCCCGCTGTATGTTTGGATTTTCAGTTCCAATTTGCATCTAGAGGAGGAGAATCTAGGCTACACTTATTCAAAGAAAGAAAAGTTGATTGGCTTTTTCCTTCACAATTATCGCCGGTTGTATCAAACATTTGAACCATTTGCTCGCTTGATTTTGGTAATTCCTGCGCATTACGTCCATTGTATTTCGCGAGATCTGTGTGTGTGAACTGGTTTTAGATGAAGAAACACGTTGGACATGTGCTTGCACCGGGTATGACGCATGCATGTGAGTCCTTTTTTTTCAGAAAGTGGGTGAACCAGATTCCTTTTGAATGCGGTACTAAATTGCATAACCTGCGCTGTTGACGATGTAGATGCTATATGCCAACTTTTTCAAGATGAAACTGGGACTACATGTTGTATATTTACATGACTTCCTAGAAACCTTTCCAGGTTCAACCTGCGACCATGCATCTAGCATGCAAAGTTGTAGTGCTTGACATTGATATCATTGATATCTAGCTAGCGCATAATTCAAGCAAATTGAACGCAAGGAGAATGCAAAAACTATGGGGTCCTTGCAAGGTTTTGCATTCAAGTTCATCAAACTTTGGTGTGAAGGCTCGGCTGTGTATTTGAGCATGTCTGGCTTGAGAGTTCTTGACGTAGCACCACTGCCCAAGCTTCACCTATGAAATATCACCTTGTCATGGGTCAGCATGTGGCGCCTATACAAAAAAAAAACTGCATAGCACCATATTAAACTTTCATAGGGTTGGGGAAGATCATCTGGTAGAATTAGCGGATTACTCTCTTGAAGTGAAGTCCCAAGCAGATTCAATAGCGCGCCCGTTTGGTGACCTTGGCCGTGGTACTTTTCTTAGGCAAAATAACATGTATATAAACCTATCACTTTGTTGATTGGTGCTCCCAACCCGTCACCTGTTTTGCAAAATGTGCAGAAAGCGAAATTGTTTTGGGGCACATGAAGAAGGTGACTAAGCTTATCTCTCTTTATTGCAAGTACTTGCCAGTGATTCACGGGCTGGCGATGATTCCTTACACCCGCCTCTTGGCCTCAATGAGTTAACAGGGTGGTCATGCACCGAAGCTGTATCGGAAACAGCGCGCCAGACATCCTGTTAAGAATCTAACCATTGTTCACCACACAGTGTGCCAAACATCGGTTCACGTAGACGATTCATATCAGCAGTGTTCAAGATCCATCTGATTGCAATATACTAGTTTGTTGATCAGAGCTCCGAAAGGCGAGCAAAATCAATCACCAACAGCGGGTTTTGAACATCGCTGATATGACATTGATAGCATCTAGATTGCCGCGCAGGTTTCAAAAATCGCCAGGGTGCCATGCATGCTGGGCCCATGGTATTTCACAACGTGCGTGTTTGCAAAGGGGAGGTGAAGATAAAGGAGATACAGGACCTGTGATTGACACGTGCAAAAACTGGAATTGATATACATGTGGATCATGTTGTCAAGTCCATGCATTTTATGCACAAAAATGGTGATCGAAAAAAGATATCATGTAGGATTAGAGCGGGACAGAATAGATTCAGGTTGTTGTAGCTGCTCATTGTCAATATGCAAGCCTAGGTACTATGTCCTCACAAATTCGATGAAGACAAGATGTCAATGGGTAAGAATCTGTTCCAAACTAAATGCGTTTAGAAGGGATCTAACGTGTCACAAAAACCTATATAGCGTATAACTTACTTGAAATTCAGCCGGCGCGTAGCTCAAGCAAACCCAAGGGCAGTTTGGCGGTGAACGCGCAGAAGTTTGTGCACACCTTTCTTTGCATTCAATTTCACCAACCTTTGGCGTTAAAGGCTGTTCCGTGTACTCAAGCATGTCTGACTTGAGAGTATCTGACTTGTAGGCATTGTGTGCTGACATGCCTTAGTAAAAAGAAACGTCGTCTGCATCTCAACGATGCAACAACATATGCAAAGTGTGCAAAACCTAGTGGTAAAGTGCAAAGCATGCAAGCCAAAAGCCCAATACAAAATAAGCAAGACTCTAGGACCCACAAAAGCAAACAAAATAAATAAATAAATATATATATATATAATAGTCATCATGCAGAGAAAACACGTTAAAAAACACACACGCACGCACACCCAAAAATAGCATCACGCTTTGCCAAGATGGAGGGCTAACAGTGATTGAACATGATGGGGCAGGCAGGCTGCCCCTTCTTGTTGTTATCGCCGTTGCTTCGCCGCCATTGGCGTCGTCGTCGTCGTCGCCGCACCGCCGCCATATGTTGTCATCACGTCATCGCCATGTCGTCGCAATGTCGTCGCCATGTCGTCGCCATGTCGTCGCCATGTCGTCGCAATGTCGTCGCCATGCTGTTGCCATGCCGTTGCCATGCCGTCGCCCTTTAATTGCCTTCCCGTTGGCGTGCCGATACATTGCTGTCGTCATTTTGTTGTCCTGCCGTCGACTCATTGCCAGTGCCTTGTTGCCTTCGTTTTGAGGGACCAGACTAACAGAGGCCTATAGGCTTTAGCTAAGATATATATATATATGTGTGTGTGTCTTACTGTATTATATATATATATACGTATAATATGTTATAGTAAAATCAAAAATTACATGGCACATATTGAACTGACCCTAGAGGTTAAATGTTGTATATTGTACATTACATCAACTGATATGTCAAAAAAGTCTATTAAATACTTTATATTGTTTATAGTGCCGTATATATAAACTACATATTACATATCACATATCTCGCACACTTTTGTGTTGTACTATGTGAAACTATGTCATCTTGTTAAATCACATCTTAGTTCGTTAGAATTATTACATAAGCTGCAACATCATCTTTGAGTTGGGACAGTAGAAATGACACATTACATGTTGTATACTAGATATCTAAACATTACTCATAAACCACACGTATAGCTACTTCAAACTACATTTCACACGCCAAAGGCTGTTTCCCAGTTCAACCAAATTACAAACCAGATACTATGTATTACATATCATGTTGATACCATATGTTACATTAAATACTAAATATAAAATCTCAACTATATGATGTATTCTGGGATTTACACAATAGATCAGACACCATCCATATAGCTAATATTTTCTATGCTAAATAAGCACAATATATATATATGAATATATATACACATATTTGTGTTTAATTGTTTATTTAGTAGATTGTAGTAGATTCTTTCGGGCGTTTATAGTTCTAAAGCGGTTGTATGTCGGTGTTCTTTTCATATACATGATATTGCGTGAACAGGTTCTGTACCAAGAATAAATCCTATATAATAGCCTAAAAACTACAATATGTTATGTATATACTGTACTTTATCTCAAACTTACCAATATATCATTATATATATACATGGTATATTGTACACATGTCAAGTTTAAACAGATCTACATCTCTATATGTTTGACATTATACAATAGATATGTGTATAAATAAATACATGTATGGTGCGTGTGTATGTATATATATAATATCTGTTTATATTATACAAAGTATATTCAATTCAATGTACAGCTGCTTGCAGTTGTGCGCGACTGCCCGCTAGTATCAGTATATTGAATCGAGATAAATCGAGCGACAACTTTTCTATCCCATCTGGAAGCTTGGAGTAGTAAAGCTTTGGCAAAGCGGTCTCCTACGACTTGTGGGCCGCAGCACATTCAGGGAACCCCGATAGTGCACCACTCACTGCAAACCGTGGTTACATCATGTTACATCAAGCTACATCATGCTACATCCATCGTTTTTTCACTTTAGAGATACAGTACCATCATTGACCTGCGCCTAGCTCTGCTGTTGGGACAACCGCGCGCCACCGTGCGCATCTTCTTCCCTCATCCCTGGCTGACAGCGCGATTAAATTGTCATCTCCTCATCTCGCTGAATCAAAATCTTGGCCGTCCTGAGTCAATTTAGCGGTGCTGCTTGGATCTGAAGGAATTTTGATTGGCAGAAGAACTCAGGACAGACTTGTTGGAAAAAAGAGACGCCCACAAGACCAACGTGATTGCCAGCGGCAGTCAGTGCCTCCAACGAATCTGTGCACAACACGTCAGCAGCGGGGAGAACTAGAGCGAACAAGCGGCCCTTTGCAAATGGACAGCATTGTACCGCAGTTTGATGCGCTCTAGCTCTTGGCAAGGAACTATGGTGAACCACATGCAAACACCACAGGCTGAGCCAAGCATCTTCAGGTCTGGCAAGACTTTCCTCACTGCTTCCAGCAGAATACCACCAGAACGAACAATGTCCTCCACACGAACACACGATGTTCACACGTCAGTCTGAGTGGCTCTGACGTACTTTGCTAATCTTTGCTTTCGACATCTTTCGACTTGGCAACAAATTCATCACAAGTGCCCCAGAACGGTCCACTGCGCAAATTGCGTGCCCATCGGGCGCTGTGACGCCATTGAAAGGCCCACACGGGGTTTGAATAACCTCCGGCAACGTCATGAACCCATCAGCCATTTTGTTATCACTTGCTTCCATGTCTGTGTTGTGACAAGCTAGCATTTCAACACTCCATGTGACTTCACATAATTTCACATTTAAATGATTTCACTATGATTTCACATGGGCTCTATTGAGCTGTCGCATACAGGCTGTATGTCCAATCTCTGGCGTGCAACACAGGCCTGTGGCTTCACGCATGGCAAACGAGCGATTCCTTCTTCTGCCAAGATAGCCATTAAACGGTCTGCTGCACGGACATAGTCTGCCTCAGAAAGTTGGTCACGTGTTGGCTCTGAATCTGATAGACCACCTATAATAAGGTAAAGCTAAAATCATCGCCCATCCACAATGTTCTCGCGATTATAGGCAAATGCTGTAAATGAGGCAGAGCCTCGACTGGCGACACCTGATGCTCTCACATGTTCTCACCATTTAGAAGACGTTGAATCTTGCTCGCCTGGCATGTCCTTTTGTCACCTCAACGCGAGCTTGCTTTGAATCCCGTGAACATGTTTGAATATGTTTGCGCACTTGTCAAGTCGTTGCTTGATTCTTATGATTCGCTTGATCTAAAGCACCTAAAGCAAGCAGGATCCTGACAATCTGAAAATGGCCCGGAAACAATTCCAAGACCTCAAATATTCATCTAGGTCCTAGGTTGTCTTCTGAATCTGCAACAGTTCTCTTCCCTTTGTAAGTGGTTCCAGATGCAAACAGAGGGGCGAATAACGGACATCAGCATAGATATCGCAGGGCTGGAAAGCACCTGTGTCAAAACAAAGCAAACCTTGCCACTTCCACCAAGCTCAGACAAACGAAAACTGACATTCTGACATATGGGTCAAAACCCTATATGCTTGAAGACTGAGCACAAGCAGACAAATACACGCACATAACTACGAGTACCTATCTATCTAGCTAGTCTAGTCTGGTCTAGCCTAAACTTACTCATGTAATCTATTCCAAATCTGATGCAAGCCAACGAAATATAATCTAACTTAACCTGAGGTTAGTCTATGTCAAATCAGGTAAAACAATCAGTTCTACTCCAACTTAGCCAAATCTAATCTATTCTTAGTCCAATGCAAACTAATCAATTCAAGTCTAGCCTGTGCTGATCTAGCAAAGTTACGTAAGTTACGTACACAATTCTTATCTAACGTATATTGGCCTATATAATATATTAAAAATCTAACGCAAACTAAAGATAACTAATCAATTTCATCTTACCTAACCTATCTTAGACATATGTTACATATCTATTTTAAATCTGATGCAAACAAATCAAATTTCACGGTATCAATCCAAATCAAAACTACCTAGTCTAAAATTATCCAATGTAAATGTAAGCCATGTAAGCTATGTAAGCTATATGATTATGATTTCTATTGATTTCTTGTGTCGTGATAAGCCAAATCAGTACAAGGTCAGGAAATTCTGACCGCGCGGCAGCGGCAATATCTGAGGCAGGGAGCTTCCGCTTTGCGATTTTCCTTCAAAAAAATTCAGCGCATCTCCAAAGTTCTAAAGTTCTGTTTGTGAACATCAGGTGTTCTTTCTGATTCTGTTTTTGTGACAGGATCATCTTTCTGATTTTGTCTCTGGTGGTCAAACCGGTTTGACGGCTCAGCCAGCAATGCAAACCTTTTCCACTGTCAACTACTCATCCCATTTGTGACCGATGTCCTTGGGCTGGAATGCAGAATTGCATTGAACTGTACTTCTCTCGCTGCAGTTCACCTGAATAGGAAACGGAAACAATATGAAGCGGCGCGAAGCAGTCAACGATTGCCGGTAAACATATCCAAGGGGACACAAAGCCACTTTTGGCCACCAACAGAGTGGACTTGGTGGACCGACAAAGTAGGCACGAATGATCGCCCAAGTGGATGTAGGTCCGTTACACCCCCCCGGCCGCTCAGAAACAAGGGCAGCGAGAAGCAAGCACATGGGCACGAGGCTCACACATACTAACCCATGCTACATTCATTGGTTCGCAACATGTTGTACACAGTACATGCTCATACATAAGTGTGAATATTGACTACACACACACACGTTACACATGAATTAACTTCTGGCCCAAACACTCAAGAATTCGACGTGGCACCCTATGAGCATTCGCAATGCATCCAGCGACATGTTGGCATATTTACAAGCGAGGGCAAAGGGATGACGCAGCCTATATAAGAGACCTTTGTAAAGCAATGACCCCAAAGATTTCAACAATTCAATACAATTCTACGTGCCGAATGGTTCCGACGTGTCCCAACTCAAAAGGTTGGCCCTAGCAGGCAGAAACAGGCCCAGGTCTTCCAAACAACCAAAGATGTTTCGAAATGTTTCGAACATGCCAGAGCCATCAGAGCCCAATATGTCATGCCCGTGTACTCACCGTGTAATTACTTATGTTCGATTCAAAAGGCAAGACAAACATAGCATCAACTCCTATGTGCCAGCAAATGAAGCATTTGCTCTAGGCGTGCTGCAGCAGTACACTTGTGATCACTTTGGTTGGTGTATCTAAACAAATGCGTCAATCTTGATTCTTTCTGTTTTGAGGGGGACCTGCAAGAAAACGGTGTTGACCTGCATCACATACGACCATGATATAGCGGCAAATTATTAGTATGATTCTTCCGGAACCAAAAAACAAATTGAGGATTGTGACGTAAGCTGCGCTTGCAGCTGCGCTTGCAGCAAGGCCGCAAATGGCCGAATTGCCTCGAACAAACAGCCCACAATGAGCGGCCATTCAGCAACTTAGTTGCAGCAACTCGATAAGATGCCAGCGATTATAGTTCCATCACCACATTATCAGAAACGTTACTAGTAGCAACAATGCGTCAAACTGTCATCAAAATGCATCAGCCTGCCATGCAAATCACAAAAGACTACGAATTTATCTTGGACTTTGGCCTTTGCCCTGTAAAGAAGCTGTGCAAGACCTGCCCGGCACAATGCCATGAGCACGTGTGGCAAACATGAAATTCAGTGGTTTCTTCACACTTCCGTACTGTCATCAAGTGAACCAAAATCAGTTTCCCCCTCTGGCACCGCGCTAGCCGCGCTGCCCAAACGCGTGCAAACCGCATGCTCCCTTCGCAGGAAGGGGCTGCAAAACAGGTGCGAAATGCGAAATGAAAAAGAATGGCACTTGATTGAAATCTGGTTCCATATCAATATTGAACTGAAGAGTGGCCATTCATTGCAATGAAAAGTGGCCCCCCTTCATTGAAATTCTTCAAAATGACTTTGAAATGTTTTGGTTCTGCTCAAACAGATGCAAACAGCAAAACAAAACAGTTTCTCCATGTCTATGAACCCTGCAATCCTCCTGACATCTCCTGACTGCATTCCAGCCTCGAGCACTCAGCAGCAATAAAAAGGGGTTGGGCTTCAAAATGGCTGCGTTCGAAGCCTCCGGAAGTTTCGCAAATCTCTTCAATTAGCGCAAAAGGATGCAAAAAAAATGTTTGAAATCCACTGATAACCCTTTGATATGGTTCGACTTGACTCGACCAGGTAGTCAGCAACTATATCAGGTTGCCAAACTCTTTGTACTCCGAAAGGTCTTTTGCCAATGTTTTTGTTTCACCCTTCCCCGTAACGCCCTTGCAGCTGCTTGAACACCACAGTGACCCGTGCGATGGCCGGCGTGCAACGGCAATTGTGAGCATGTTTTTCTTGAAAACATAAAACCATCTAAATTCTGAAAAATCATGGTCCAGGATGGTCTCCCAAAAAGAGGGAACCTGGGCACCAGGCGCAAGGATAAAATTCACAGCCTTTCCCCGCAAAAAAAATGAGACATACTGAGCGACTGCATGTTGTGAGGAAAATGGATGGATGGATGGATAGAAGATAGATGGATAGATGGATAGATGGATAGATGGATGCATGGATGGATAGATAGATAGATAAATAGATAGAAGAATAGATACATAGATAGAAGAATAGATAAGATATAATGGGATAAAACAAGATAAGATTAGATTTAGATTTAGGTGTGAATTTAGAGTTGGCTTGAATTCCCGTCAAAACCCTTCACATCTCAGTAATTACTGTTGGCGGATATCGCTTTTTGGGAGGGGCCATATCGCTTTCCAGTGTTTTGTGTCACTATCGCTTGTGGAGGGAGCCCTATCGCTTTACAGTGTTTCGTGCACATCTCTGACAAAAGTGTTTCTGCAATACTATAGTGGTCTTCAACCATTTTGACCGTAACTCAAATTAGGATTTAGATTGAAGTTAGCCTAGATTAGATTAGATTAGATTGGGTTAGATTAGATTGATAGATAGATGGATAGAGAGATAAGGGAAGTAAGCTAAGATCAGGTAAGAAAAGAAAAGATAAGAAAAGAACAGACAACATAAGATAAGATAGATAAATGAGACAGGATAGGAAAGGATAGAACAGAATAGGATAAGATAAGACTATACAGATTAGATTCAATTAGATTAGACCACATCAGATTAGGTTTGATTAGATTGAGTTAGAAAGAAAGAAAAACAACTTAGACAGGCAGATATGTATATGTAGATAGATAGATAGATAGATAGATAGATAGATAGATAGATAGATAGATAGATAGATTGATAGATAGATAGATAGATCGATCGATAGATAGATAGATAGACAGGTAGATAGACAGATAGATAGATAGACAGACAGACAGACAGATAGATAGATGGATAGATAGATAGATAGACAGACAGACAGATAGACAGACCGACAGGCAAACAGATAGATGGATAGGTAAAGTTGAACTCTAGCAAACCCAGTGGATTCAAATCCATTCAATGTTGCGGCAGTAAGCTAATGACAAACTCCAGCTGCATTGTGAGCGTGGTTGACTGTGGGCAGCATTGGGGGTTGCAGGAATGAAACTCATACATGCCTGCGCATGGAATGGAAACATAGGGGGCTCCTGGAAAGAAAATCGTCCGTGAAGGGATGGCAGCGCATCTGCTAATTCCCATTTGTTTCCAGAACATATGGCATCCTCCAAATTCCTTCTGAGAGCCAACAAGAACAGAGATTGCTGCTATCCTTCTTAATATAAAACAGTTCCAACATTCGCCATTGAAGTAGGTGGACCACTGCAAGTGTTTTGCTGCAGTGCAACATGTTTTGGCCAGAGATGGTCTTTTGGGAATTTTGATCTTGGGTGCTATGCTACACGCGGGATGGGCCCCGATATCAACATTCCCTTGACTCAGAGGGTCACGTTTTGTTGACTGTGAGGGTACGCCAATGCATCACCGCAAAACTGCCTGTTTTTGAGGCCCTGGTTTTGGAACCTCATTTTGATCAAATACTGCGGAGGCCCATGTTTGCGCGTCTGCTTTTTCTTGCCTTTTTAGGACCAAAAACGGACCTCTTCTTTGTGATATAATATATATATAGTTATATATATATAATATGTTTATATTTTGTTTTGCTCCAATTTCGATAGTCCCAGGCTTGTCTCGAAGCCTGCCTCAAGGTGTTTTGTTCCAAATTTCCATAGCCCCCCGACCCTGGAGGCGTGTTTCAAGGAGGCTAGCCTCATCCTTAAAGATGTTCTTTTCATTTTTAAGTTTCATGGCCCTGAGGCCCTCGAGGCTTGCCTTGAGGCCTGCCTCCGACATTCTCTCATCCTTGCAAACTTTTTGGTCTGCCGCAGTTTCCATAGCCTTGAAGCCTCGAGGCCTGCCTCAAGGCCGTCTCTTTGCGCCAGCTGCGGCCTAAAATTCTAGCAAGGCACCAAAGTTCCCAACTACTTCAAGTTCAGCCCAGCTGGGGCTCCAACAATAGTATTATATAGTTTTGGGTTCCCGTGAGCCTCGCTTTGTCCTTGTACAAATATGTTTTGCGTCCGAGGCGTGGCCTCGGGCAGCTTTCGCTGAGCCTCGAAGTGCCTCGATTGCAGGCCTTGGAAAGCTCGAATCAGCTTTCAGTACATGGAACATCTTTCATCAACATGACAACAGCAAGGGAAAGATTGTCATGATCAAGACAGGCGGGTATAAGGGGCTTGTTTTGGATTTGTTTTTGGCATCTGAAATTGGCATTATTTTTTGTGCGACGGATGTGTCCCTTGTATGGGCTTTGCACGGAAAGAGGAAAAACTGCCTGATGATTCTTCATCCTGGCTTAGGATCATATGCAGCCCGCCGGTGTTGGATAAAGCCGCAATTTCACATGTTGCATCTTCCAATTTTGGGCCCCTATAATTAAAAACAAAATCGCAGGACCCAAAATGGTGCCCAAAACCGGAACCCAGGTTTGGCAGCAAAATTGAACCCAAATCAGGCCCCAAAATGCAATCCGGGGTGCCAAATTTGTACGAAGGACGTGTAGACATGATCTTCATTCAATGGTCTTCTACCTAGCGATCTTATTCAACTGCGCGCAACAAACCAACAACATCAACAACTTCAATCAAAGAAGGGGGAAACTTAGGCCGGCAAAATTGCTTAAACAAAGAGCATTTTTACATTTACATACCAAACATGGTCAAGACATATTTTCCTTGCAGAAGATACTAAAGCAAGTAAAGTTTCATGTATGAAAAAATCAACAGCATGCTCGCTACTGCGAGGTGAAACTCGTTTGTTTTCTGTGGCGGGGCAATCACTTGGTCCGAGTGCAGCGTCTCTTTTCCTTAAATTTGTTTTGCTCTGGCGTTCGGTCAAGAATTGGAGTCTTTTGACATAAATTGCGTCAAAGGCGTCAAAGGTATTGAAAACCAAACCCGACGCTCGAGGGCTACACTTGAAAACAAAGATGGCCGAAAGGTGTCAATATTTGACTCCATTTTTCCAAGGTCCGACTTTTGACCTTAGAACTCCAGGATTCACAAACAATTGCACAGTCAGCCAGTCAGCAAAGACATGAAACGGCATTGAAACAAAATGGTTCAAATTGTGGAAGCTGAAGGCAAACTGGGCCAAATGACTTCACGAGTCTCACTGACACTTTGCCACCTCTAACCTAGGACAGCAATGCAAAACGCACTGTCAACTGTGCATGCATATTGCACATCATTTTGCAAAAGTAACCCCGTGGAAAACAAAAGGGAGAACCCTATGCAAGGAATCCTGATGACATTGCAGATCCGAATCTGAATTTTCAGGAACCAAAAAAACTTTCGGTCAAGGCGGTGAAGGGGTGCTATGTCTAACGTGGATGGTAAACTCAAGCAACTCATCACGAGCAAAAATGTGTAAAATTATTCACAATCTTATATAATCATACATAATCTTACTATATCTTACTCCTACCAGAAATCGTTGATGTCCCGGCGCACGAGTGTTGTGGGCATCTTGCCTTGTAAGTCGTCAACAATGGCTCGACCCGAGAGTAGAGCGGCGAGAGAGTCAACCTAGGATCGACGAGAAATGACGAGAATGTGTTTCAAGGGTAAAACTCCAAGACTTCAGCCGCAAAAACCCCTGACAGAATCCTGAAAGAGACGTCTTGGGAAGGAGGAAAGCAAACATGGCCGTCCATTTGCCCTCTCTGTGACAGCAACTCACGCCAAACTCAAGCCCTTCCACCCTCCAGGAACCTGTTCAGCACGACTGCTGGACTTGTCTTTGGGTAGATTTCGAGTTCAATGGTTCCCCAACTCAGCAGTGGATGTCAGCCATCTTTCACAACACAACCTGTTTCAATTCAGTTCATCCACTCATGACGAGCAATCCGTTTTCATGACCTTTCCAGCTACCCGGCCCGGTGCCTTACAGGCACCGTAACCACGCTTCAGCATCGCGGGAACCATTTTACTGTTCTGCTATTTACACGCCGCACCTGCCACGCGAGCCTGTTCTTGCTACTCCAGAAAGGCACATAAAGACATCGCGAAACGACGTTTTGGCACGTCGACGAGACGCTTCTAGTATCGCGAGGAGCCTTCTTATATTTTCATGAAGATTTTGCCCCTTTATATAAACTCGAAACGTCGTTTTGGCATGTCGACGCGACTTTTTTGGCATCGCGAAACGAGCCCTTGGCATGTTGACGGTTGTTTTGGCATGTTGACGAGACGTATCCCGCCTGTGCGAGGTCCTGGGACGAAACCCTTAAAAATTGCCAGGAAAAATAACACCAGAGTTTGTGAAAGCAAGAAATCCAATGAAATCCAAAGGGAAAAGGTGCATGTACCAAAGGCATCCCAGAGCAAAAGAAGAAGATTGACGAATACTCTAGCAGGAAGGACAGCTCAGGAAATGAGGCAATAGACCAGAAAGCTGAACGCTGCTAGGACTGCTGGGGACAGGCGAGACAACTGAGCTGCAAACTTCCATTCCACAAGAGTCTCTGGAGCCACCAAGGACACTGGAACGTCCTTTCCAACCCCAAACTCGACATCTTGCATTCTCTAATCATGAACCATTTAATAGTACATGGTGAGGCTGTTTCATCGGTATTCAACACTGCAGCTTCCGTTAGCTACACTTTAGAGGATCTTGCCTATCCTCGCATCAGCTTCTTGCTGTCCTGAATTCGAATGTCCAACGAAGTTGCTCGACACGAGACTTTGACCTGACATGCTGTTTCCAGACGGTTCTCACTATTTCATACCATTTCCTCGCTTGTCTCACATGGGCTCGTTGCCCTCACTATTTCATACCATTTCCTCGCTTGTCTCACATGGGCTCGTTGCCTTGTCACCTATAAAGCAGTGTCGTCACTCTCTTCTTCAAAATGGGATTAAAATCGCAAGAATTGGCAGCATAGAAAAGTCGAGAGAAGTCTCAGCAAGAGAAAGAAATGCCTTGGAGGCTTGAAGGGTGACTTGCAGCTCGCTGAATGTTTGCTGATGTCACGTTGATGTTCCCTACCAGTTGCCTGATTGCTCTCCTTCAGGAAGCTCGCCGCACCATCGAATAGGTCCTTCAGCGCTGCATATGCAATGGTTATCGAGGGCTTCTATATTGTGTGTCTACAATACATTGAACAGAGTTATATAATGTTATATAAACAGATTTGAACCGAGCTGTACTATTGCGCATTGGTAACAAAAACGTTCTTTCCGGAATCTAAAATCTCTCAGACTACACACTGAACATTGTACACATCTAAAGGCCAATGCGGATAAGCCTACGATACCACTACCTTGTGGTTCTAATACAAAGGTTCGGGGTTCGGAAGTTGCCCTTCACAGTCCATTCTCCACCCTACCATTAAAGATGTTCAACCATTCTAAACCTCACGAGATGTCAGAGATACCATGAGTGGACCTTTTTTAGGTCTTTGGCCACTGTGTGTCTCTGACTAAGGCACAGGACTCCACAAGTCCTGCAATCATTCTAATGTCGCATGGCTTCTTGTGCTGCTTTGAGCACTTTGAAGTCTAAAAACTTGAGGACTGCAGAAAGCTTCCCAACAATTAGAGAAAGGCTTCCAAAAGACCAACACCTTGATACAAATAGCCGCCGCCAAACAAATTGTAGTGGTTGATGATGTGGTAGGCTTCGTAGAGCTTCGCGCCTGAACCGTGATTGATTTCTTCTGAGTCACTTGCAGTCACATGGAACTTGTGGTCCATGTTCTTTGCTATTCTTAGATTTGGAGGAAAGAATTTGCAGGGCACTGGGTGGAGCGGGGCTTGGGGGGGTTTCCCACCTAGCTACATTGAACAGATATTTCTGATTAAATAGTCTTGCAAACGTTCACTGAATCTTCTACCGGAACACATTTCAAGACCCCATGTAGTTTGGTTCAACCACAACCTCTGCTGTTGCAATGTAAGTTTGTTTTATGACAAGCAATGGCCAATACAGGACAGACCCATGCAATTGAGCACTAGCAAATCCTTAGCCTTCGCTTGGGCACTTCTTGTCCTTGGGGGGCTACTTCAACAGCATGTACCTGAGAATGTACCTGTGAAAATCAACATTTATGAAACCGTATGTACAACCTGATCTCAGTGGCCACCTGTTTCTTTCGCAATGTTGCCTTGAATTCCTGCGACGAGAACCAGGCCAGTAGCATGCGAAACGCCCTTTGCCATATTTCAAAGTCGACCCCGCGCTGGGCACGCCGCGGAGAAGGCTAACGCAGGCAACACCTAGAGCATTAGCGGCAGTTGCCTTCGACAAGATGGCAACTCACCACGGGCGTTCGAATCCTTGCCTTCATGGGGAAAGCTCTCAACTTGGGGAAGCTTGCCGTCAAGGCACGCCCGAGCCACTGGGAGCAGCAAGCTGCAGCAATGCCCTCTCATTCAACCCTCATGCTCAGTCCTGTAGCTGTTTCAAGCACGGCTTGCAGAACACTACCAATTCCATTTTCATTTGCTAAGCCTGCTAAGCGGGAAATTAAAACAGGCCAGCCCTAGAAAGGCAGAGGCCACAGCAAAGAGCAAACAGGAGCAGCGGCTTGGGTGTCAAAGCTTTGCACAACGCTGGTTGAAAAAGAGCATTGCTACGATGGACCTTGAACTTTGCCTGTCTCAAACGGGAACAGAACAGGGACCAGAGTCTGTTTCTGCATTGCTTCCATATATGCCTGGCAGACGCGTTGATGCAAGAAGCAGAACCGGATGAAATGAGGAAAACCCCATGATTTCGAGCCTTTTAGGCTTGCATTAGTGCCGATGTAGTAGAAGTAGTATTCAAGATTGCTTCATGCCGCCATCCAGTCTTTTGGTGTTTTCAAGCAAGTCCTTGCTGCGGGCCCTTCAGCTGAGACTTGGGAAGCACCTAGGCCCTTTCCAGAAACGAGAAAAACACTTTTTTTTGCTGTTTTATTTACCGTTTTTGCGTGTAATTTTTCATCGGGGCTTTGGGTGGAATGGTTTCATCGGGGCTTTGGGTGGAAATGGTTCGTTCGGGGCTTTGGGAGGAAGATTTGAATTTGAATCTTGTACGAGTAAGGAACTTGAACGGGGCATTCGGAGGAAGGCCGCCGCTAGCCCTTTGAGCGGGGCAGTGGGTGGAGCCAAGCCATCGGGGCTGTGCGAGGTGATTTCGTACGTTTTCAAAAATGAAAATTTGCACTGAAAATTGGCGCCTGGTGCCTGCAATGGCCGGAATTTATTTCATCCCCGTCTTGGTGCAGGTGCGACTGTGAGGGAATATTTAAAAGCGTACATGTCTCTTACCAGATATACATACATACATTTTCAAAATGACAGGATAGGCATCCGTCTGCTGCCGACATAGCAGGAGGCTCCGTAGAAACCTATAGGGCGGGTGTGTAGGCGCGGAAGCGGAAAGCTAGCAACAGTCAGCAGCGTTGCTGTTCCTTAATTATCCTCCATCTCATGGCCGAAATACATCTCTCCACGCTAAAGCTGATCTGCGCCTTGAATTTCGAGTATCCGGGTGTCATTGTTGAATCGAAGCGCGCTCCTCGTCACCCTGGCGCCGTTAGAAGGGAATGAAGACTTTGACGCCCTGAGCTCAGGAACAAACATACTGTATGTCGCCGCGGTTGCTGGTCTTTCTGCCAGCAAGAAGAAGAAAGCTTCCACCCCGCGCTGGGAAAGGAGGAAGGCTTCAGCCGGCGCCGGGAGGAGAGCCGGCGCCGGGAGGGAGACCCGGCGCCGGGAGCGAGACCAGGCGCCGGGAAAAAGAGAATCCTCCCAACCCGGCGCCGGGAAGGAGGAATCCTTTCACCGGGAGAAGAAGAATCTTTCAAAAGAAGAAATCGTCACATGCTGATGGCAAGAAATAAAGCCTTTCTCCCAGCACCTAGAAAGATAAAACTCAAAAACCTTTTCAGGGCCTCACACACGGACAACCACATGATCAATGAACATAGTATACATTTATATACTGCTGAGCTTGCCGCGCTGTCTTCTGTGTCCACTTCTGTCGGGAACAATGCCAAAAACTAGCTGGTTCATAGCCGACTCGAAGACACCCGCGGACGACGATGGCCTAATGACCCCCAAACGTTGTGTCCACCATCATTTACCTTGCGCCGTCCGAGGCCTCTTCTCATTCTACACATTCCAAAAAAGTTGAAACTAAGCAGAAAAGTGAGCCTAAGGGAAGCAAGATCTGTTTTTCCCGCCCTAATTATAAATGGGCATCTGCCATGACCACGGAACAAGTACTTTCGCACATAACGGCTATTTCTTGTTTTGTATCAGTGCTCGGGTGGAAAAAGTGTGTTTCACCACCCATAGCCCTGCTACGCTGGAAGCCCTGCTGATTTGGTTCTCTGATAGATGTCTTTGGTCTCGTTTTGATCCATCTTTTCTGCCTCGAATTCAGACTACAAGCCTTGGCTTCCCGGCGCTTTGAAAATAGCGGAGCCTCAGGAATAACTTCACGGTAGGCCGACCAGAAATCACCTCAGAGCTTGAGAACAAACTCCGATTCTACACGCATTGGCGCTCCTGGACTATACTGCAGTACACTATAGGGTATACTATAGGGATCTATAGGGTATACTACAATGTCCGACATAGTTGGTGTCTTGTTAAAATCTCAATGTTTCATGGAGAGTTGGGACCTTCTTGCCAGGGCAAAGCTCTTGCATGTCAGCGATGAAACTTATTTGAGATTGCATATAGCCTGATGTCCCTTGCCTCTTTTTCCATTCCCCGAGGCTGGTTTCACTACCCTGTTTCTAGGAGGCGGCCCCATGTCGTTCTGCACCCGAATCTGAAGTTAAAAATCAGGCAATTCTTGCACCCGAAAACTACAAGTACACATCTGGTCATGGACAACGATTCTCTGCAGTGGCAAAAAAATGGAAGGTAGCACTCCTACTGGTTCCTGCAGAGAAGGTCTGAACTCTGAACGGTTTTCGGCCGGTGGAATCGGTGGAAGTGACAATATGTGACAATATGTGACAATATGTGACAATGCAGGCACAATGCAGGTAGCGCCGAAGCACGGGTGAAGCCGGCACACCATGACATACCAAATTCCGCCTCATGATGTCCGTAGTACGTAGCCGGATCCTTGGCCGCTTCCACTTCAGCATCTTCAGCATTACAGATCGCAAACACCGCCAGGAGACCGAGGGCTTACAAGACTACTTGTGGCATTTGGACATTGTGCAGTACTATGTTGGCCACTTTGCCCTGTTGCTGATTAATGCTAATTAACCACGGTGTAAATTGGACAGACCGTTGGCAATTTCGTACTTGAACGCTGGCAACTGGCCTCCAACACAGCCAAGTTCACAATTGGGCGCATGCCAAATGCCCATGTGGCTTGGCCAATATGCACATCGGACAATATTTGAAAATAATTGGTGAAGAGCGTGAAGAGGGGCAGCAAATTGGGAGTGCCTTTGATCGTCTAAGCCAACTAGGCAGTCGCCAGCAAAAAAACAGTTATCAAACCAATACTCTGGTGGACTACAAATATTGCGCAGTTCTTTGACAACTGGACGATGCAAACCGCAACGAACTACATATCTTTCAAGCCACCCGTTCGCTCTTGGCCTGCAGGCTAGTTTCAAAAATTGCAACACCTTCAGGTGTCCCTTCATAGTTGCCGCTCCAAAGGTCGCCATGTAGGATGGACCTCGCATATAACATCTGCAGCATGTGGGAAAAGAATAGAAAAGAATGGAAAAGAATAGAGCACTAAGCAAAGTAATTTAAAGGAAGCAAAGGAAGCAGAACAATTCCTTGGTTACTTTGCCTCTCAGAGAAACTGGGCACACAAACGGCTTCACATCAATGTCGCTGAAAAGGGCCTTCAAATCGTCCGTCTCCTGCACAAAGCCGACATTCATACACTCAAAAGTTGACAAGCACTGGCAGCTCTCTGCGGCGCAAAATGTTGCAAGACTGGACCTGCCACAGTGTAGCGTTTGCTTCCAGACTTGCATACACTCACTTATACATCCAATCTTGTCTGACTTACTTCACAGCGTGACTTTTGCAAATAAGCGGCACATCTCGATTCACATGGCCGGCCTTTAGAACTTTGTCCCATGTCTTCTTCAACTCAGTGCTGCCAGCCATCTGAACCTGTGGTGTGTCACGGCATCTCTTGGTACGCGTCTGGTACGTGTCATGATACATCATGGCAGTCACAGCTTTTGTGTGCAGCTTGTCAACAGCTTGTGAGCAGCTTCAGCTTGGAATGAGGTCCGAAGTCCGTTTGAAAACGAAAGAAAGAGAGGAAGTCCACAAACCCCCCGCACTGGTCCACGCCTGTGGGCCAAGTCGGTGCTCTCGTACAAAGGTGACCCAATCCTCAAACACTCATTCCAAATGATTAAGGGACAAAAAAAGGATATTATGATGTATACTGCATATATATATAGAGATATTATCATATATTATATATAATATATTATACTGTAATATATTGATATTAAAGCCATGGAGCTCTGTAAAAATACAGCGCTGCCGTATCCCAGGAATCATTCAGTCTTTTGAGTCTGGCAAATGCTAGGATTTCACGTGTAGTTGCGTTGGCCATGAGTCCTCCGTCCAGGTATTTCTCTGCGGTGTTCCGCCAATTGTGTTGTCTACCTGCGTTGGGCCAAACAACCCATGCTCAGCACTGCAGAATGTTCTGCGATTTCTTTACAGAATTGTGTCATGCGAGCAACAAATCTTCAGATTTCCAAAAGCCCGACTTTGCAGAATTTCAAGGCCCAAGGCCATTCAAGGCCTCAAAGCCAAACTTTCCAGCTTTAGCTTCCGGGTGGGCAGGCTCAGCCATGTGCATCCTCAGCCATGCAATAAGGCTCCAACTTGCAAACATGTGCAAACTAGTTCCTCACAGCATCAGCCGTCATGTCTGCCCATATCTCATATCTACACTTCCAAAAGAGAGGAGCAATAAGACTCGGTTTCAGTTTGCATCACCTAGGACTGCGCATAATTGCAGATGTTCACGGATGTTCAAACCGCAAAGCCGTTAATTTTTCTTTGACGTGGCTCAGAGCCAAGGCCCGACCGAACTCCTTCATGTTTGGTCGGCCTCCCATGTTGAGCTTGTCCATAATGAGGTAGGAACCACCTTTTTGGCAAAAAGGGGGTCCATTCATGCTTGACAGTGACAGCAGTCCCTTCATCTTGGAATGGATCGGTGCCGCAATGTTCGAGGCACTTGGTTTCATGAAGTTTCATGAAGTTTCATGAAGTTTCATGAAGTTTCATGAAGTTTCATGAAGTTTCATGAAGTTTCATGAAGTTTCATGAAGTTTCATGAAGTTTCATGCATCTTGGAATGTTTCAAAACAGAAATGATTCGCTTCCGCAGCTGGTCTGCGCACCATTACCGTCATCATCGTAATGCAGAACCTTTGGCACGCAAACTCCACCTGGGTGAAAGAAGATAAGATGTGACAAGATATGACAAGATATGACAAGATATGACAAGATCGAGGAATGAAGGGAATGAAGGTTTTGGCCAAGGTTTACTTAGGGTGAAATCAAATCTTAAGCAACACCTCTACCCAAGGAATCTTGGTTTCTGATTTAATTTGGCAGAACAAAAAGCAAGCTATTGACAGCAGACTTCCACCACCACACAATGCGTACAATATATAATATAATTGAGGTAGAGTTGCAACTAGCCAGCGCATAATATGAAATCCTGCTTCAGTTGTACAAACGATCGGGAAAATGGTGACTCACGTAAAGAATCTTCTTGCAAGATTTGTTCTTTGTATGGATGGTTTTGTACATGTATGCAAATATATACAAATCTCTATATGCGTGTGTGTATATATACGACACATACGTATATATATATATATACGTGTATATATATATATATACGTATGTGTCGTATATATATATATACATACGTATATATACATATAGATATGTGTGTGTGTGTGTTCGTCTCGCTGTCTACATAAGTCACGAATATGGATATCCACAGAAGAAACTCTTTGTGCAAATGTATCAACCCAAGTAATAGCCAGGTCTACACATTGTGCATGCCGAACAATCACCTGCAAACAAGATATGATGTCTTATCCACCATATAGAAAAGTGTGCTTGAGTGTCATGAGTCATTTATGATCGTATGTATAAAGATACTGTCTATAGATAGATATTGTGCACTTGCTATCACTGACACGCGTACATAATATTGCTGAATGTTACAGAATATCATAAACTCTCGTAGAATATCATAAAATACGCAGTACATCATCATTACCCACCCTTCTTATCTCTTCTTATCCCTTCTGATCCCTCCTTCCCATGCTCAGCTGGGCCTGCTGCACGGAGAGCCTCAAGACCCAGCGCTTCACCCTCAAACATGGCAGCTGCAGGCCGTCGAGCTGTCTTCACAAAGAAGGCCCCCTGTCACATCCGAAACAACACATACAAGGATCATACGGGGATCATTTGCTGAACATCATTTGAACATATGTTTGAGCATATTTCCACATGAGGCCATTTGTGCCATGAATGATGCCATAAGACAACACTGCAACAAAATGATGTCGAGATGCTGTTTGACTGGCTGCAAACAAGAGACTCTCAAGAGCAGTTTCTCGACAAGTATCCTACAATTCTATCTTAACACACCGCCTTTTGTGCCTTAGAAATTTAAGCTTCATACAAGGAGAACAGAGATCTGTATAGTCACTCCCAATTTGGCTGTTCATCAATTTGATAATTGATAGATATGTATACGTATATATTACACCTATATATATATATATATCTTGTACAGTATATACTATGATCTATAGCATTTCGAAAATACTTTTGATCTTTTTGGGGGCCTGTTTATTCTTTGTCTTGCCTTGTCTGTCTGTAGAGTCTGGAAAGATGCCCAGCCACTGCCTTGCCAAATCAAGTTCGCAACAAATGAGAGACCTCTGCTGATAATCCATTTTTTTTCTTCCCGTTCTACCATCAAAGTATCTGGGAATCAAAGGACAAACACAAAATAAGGAGTCTCAAGGAGTGCTCTCTGAGAGCTTCTTGTGGGTTGCTGCATCCTTAAGGACAAGCATAGATAAGCACAAACAAGCACTTATCTGGACCTCCTCTACCCTGTTTGGATGCCACTTCGTAGCCATTTGCTTCCAACCAATCAACCTGAGAATCTATGTTCAGGTTGCAGATGCAGCACCAGTGAAAGAGGAAAAGAAATTGCTGGTCCGTAACATCAGTAACCTGCCTGTCATGCTGACCTTGGTCTTTCCCGTGCTCTCCACATACATGAGGTCAAACGAAACGATGTTTATACACACATCACACATCCAACTCAGTTGTCCAACTCATTCCACTCCAAAATGGTGCAAGCGGCTGCGTTGCTTCGAAGCATAGTAGCACGAGGCTTTTTGGGACGCGGTTGAGGTTCAACAAAGCACCTCTGAAAAGGCAGAACTTACCCCGAACAAATGCAACTTCAAGCTCCTTACAACACCCCAGACTACCACACCAGACCACCAGCTTCCAAATCTTGCGCCTCATGCTGAAGCACACAGCTAAAGCCAGCAACCAAAAAAGCCGTGGGCTTCGATACATTGCGCAGAATGAGAATTCAAGCAAGTTTATATAAGTAAGTTCACTTGATGTTATATAGGTTCATGCATCCAGAACAAGAATCAGCTGGACATCAACCCATTTTGAACATGCCCTGTCATGACTGCATGTGTTTAAGTTATATACATCAATTGACATTGTGTGGTCTTGAAAGTAGTGAGTTAGGCCACATGTCCATCTAACGGAGGCATAAGGTTTCTTGGTATCTCGTGACCTTTGCAACTGAGCCAGGTCTTTACACCAGAGGGGTGGAAGCTTTCTGAACTCTCACAACCTATCATATCCTATCATATCAACATGTGTATGATTGTGTGTGTGTGTGTATGTATGTATATATGTATATATGTATGTATGTATGTATGTAGGTAGGTAGGTATGTATGTATGTACGTATGTACGTAGGTATGTAATGTAATGTAATGTAATGTAATGTAATGTAATGTAATGTAATGTAATGTAATGTATGTCTGTGTGTGTATGTCTGTGTGTGTATGTATGTCTGTGTGTGTATGTATGTGTGTATGTATGTATGTATGTATGTATGAATGTATGAATGTATGAATGTATGTATGTATGAATGTATGTATGTATGTATGAATGTATGAATGTATGAATGTATGAATGTATGAATGTATGAATGTATGAATGTATGTATGTATGTATGTATGTATGTATGTATGTATATAGATATATCAGTCATGCCAGTATCAGCTGCAGCTTCGGCCATGTCAACAGCTTGGAAGCATTGCACAAGATGCAATCAGATTCTAATCAGATTCTAATCATATTCTAATCAGATCAAATATTCTCTGACATACTCTATATGACATATAGTATACATCTTACATCTACAACACAACCTTCGCTTCATTCCGTTTCATTTTTTTGCCCGCGGGTCCTAAGACTGTAAGATGTCCGGCTGAGCTTAACATGCCCAAAACTGCGGCTTTCAGCTCCCCAGTGCTCTCCTTGTCCAAGCTGATGCTGAAAGACACTGAGTCCTCATGAATTTTGACACACAGCTCGTCCATATTCGTCCATCAGCTCACATTTTGGCAACGGCTCCAGCCAAGCACAGAAAACGTATGGCGACACAGCGTTCTCTCCCAAGATTGGCAGATGCCAAAGAGTCTGCCAAAGGACTCTTCAGCCCAGCTTGGCAATATGAATGTATAATAAAATCATATGAAATCTATAATATACAAATTATGTATACATATAATATCTTACAAAGTAATAGCAAAGTAAATACATGTAAATACATTCTATCAATTAAAACAAATACAGTATCACTACGCAAACTAGTCCTCTCCATCTGCAAATGTGTAGTGCCTGCAGTGCCGGGTGACCAGCACTTTGTTCACAAAGCCATGACATTGGTCTTGCGACTTGTTTTCGATTGTGCAACGTTGTTCTTATCACTTGTGACGTTCAAAAGTGCAAAGCCAGGATGCTGCAGATCAGGGAATTCCACATCATTGATCAATGTGTGCTACAAAGTATGAGACGAATCTGATGCCAAGCTGCTCTATGGTCTTTGACGGCAGCGCCTCACTATCCTTAGCCGGATAGGATCGGATGAGCCATGCCAATCATGCCAACCTGAAACTCTGTTTCGGATGTACATATATGTACGAGTATGAGACAGTGTGTGTGTGTATGAGTATCTGATTTCCCTATGCAATGCTAATGTTGGCGGAGTGCCGAATGCCTTTTTTCATGGTGCTGCAGTGCCTTGCAGGCCTGGGCGTGGCCTTGACGCCCATGCGCTCGGCATCTGGGAGTCTGGCCACGGCGGGCATCTGACTGCGTGCCATGCCCTGGCAGCAGTGGTAGAAGTTGCAGCAGTGAGTCGGTGAACAAACAATGAACAGTCAATGAACAGTCAATGAGTCTCTTCGTGAGTCTCCGAGACCGGTGCCAATGGATCCTATCAGAGACTGTTCAGAATCTGCCAAGCCTTGAGCATCTCAAGCCTCTGCATTTCATCGCCAGGAGCCTTGCAACTGTTGCGTATTGAAAGCACTGCTGGATACTGTTGGAACAAACAAAACAAATCACAGCTGTGTGATAATGACTCAGGATGCGAATTGGCGAATGGGACACATTCACTCATGGCATTGTCAAGAAAAGTTCTCATTGCAAGGCGAAACCATATTGCCCCTTTCGGTCGAAAATTGTGTGAGAGCCTGCAACCATATACTTCGTGGTGAGTAAAATGCACTTCCAGAGCATGGGACCAAATCAGGTCCTACCATTTGTTTACTCTGTGAGCCAGGGCGTCATACCCTTTCCTCAACTGCCTAGACGACAGCATCAAGAAAAGTGACTCAAGATCGCATCAATGAGACGGAAAATTCAAGTTAATTCGAAACATTGGACATATATGGACATATAATATTGGAACCCACATTGGACACATTGGACACAGAATATGAACCCAGGTCTGAACGGGTCTGAAAGGCCTTTCCAAACTCGTCCTGGCTCTGACTCACCTCCAGAGACGGGTAGGTAGGACCCTCCGAGATGTCTCGAGTATGTTACCTCCTGTTCTTTCGATTTTAAACATGTTCAAACCAAGTGCAAAGGCAGGTCAATGTACTTGTGTATTTCCAACGGCTTGCAGTATACGTACTGTATAAATGATTATAAATGTATGTATGTATACAAGCGCTACATACATACATAATCTTATATATAGAGAGGCCAGCGCTCTCAGCGCCCACAAATCTCGTAAAAAATGCTATGTTTTGAGCATTTTCTGACATGTGTGTCCAAGTCTGTAAGCAATATGTACTGTTGCCTTTTCCAGCAGTTTTAAGACATGTTCTCATTGCTGCAGGTTGTCTATCAACGGTTCTATGTCATTTAGCCAGTGAATATCAGAAAGAAAATTCAATTTTGCCCTGTTGCGCCATGCTCAAATGATAGGGGTGTGTTTGCTTCTATGTTGCAGGTTTTTATAGCAAGCATGAACAAGAGGAAACAGCACTTTTGATTGACAGAAGATTTCATTTTGTCCCCAAGCAGCATTGCATCTTCCTGACAGAGCTCCCTACAGAAAGAGATATGGAATGTTTTGCAAGGGTAAGCATATTGTTCCTTTGAAAAATATTGTGTTATTAAACCCTAGTACAGCATCAACTCAGATTCTAAGGGCCACAGCATGCTTCTCATAAGTCATCGTTGAAAATTTGAAAGAATGTGGCATTTCTTGAGGAAATTGTGGCATGCCTCTATGCAACATTCTTCTATAGAGGGAACAACATTCCTTTGAGAAAGTGTAAAGCAAGACCCTGAGATGTGCATAGCATTCCTTTAGAACAAGTGCGTTCTGTCTTCCATATATTTTAATGAACATATGTAATTTCTTCCATAGAGGTAGTAGTCCTTTTAGAGAAGGGTAGTATTTCCTTAAGATAAAATATGCATATACATTAGTGTTTTTCAGAAAAGCGGCATTCCTATCAGACAATACTTGATGGTTTCATGAAATCTTGATTTTAAACAACGGTATTATGCCATATCACTTCGAAAAAATATTATTCATTTGGAAAATATAATATGATTTTCAAATAACATAATTCATTGTATGATATTATTAATTATATATATACAATTACCCACAATCTTCCTTTCAAAAGTATGTAGCATCTCTTTGAGAAGTAGCCTTCAAGACACACAGCAGTCCTAGTGACAGAGTATGGCTGAGTATGGTGTGATTTACAGTAAGTTGTTGTACAAAAGGGAACCCTTTCATATATACAACAATCCATTTGAAAGAGGGTGATGTGTCTGTAATAAAGCGCAATGCATGGAATTGCCATTTGAAGAAGTATAGTGTTCCTTGCAGGAAATATAGCATTATTTTGAAAGGGTATTCTTCAATAAGCAGTTGCTCTTTCAGAGACCACAGTGCAGCATGCCTTTATGCAAGTTTCCTTGAAAAGGATGCAATATATTATATTTGTTCATTCCTTTGAAAAGAGGGTGGTATTCCTTGCTCAGAAGAAAATTACACAAACAGAGCCACCACCTCCAGAAAATCGGAAATTAGGCCTTGCTGTTCAGGAAATATGGAGAAAACATTTTCAAGGTAAAACCACCCCTATAGCCAGGCGGTACAATAAGCAAAACCACCAAAAAAACACAAAAACCAAAAAAAACAAAAAAAAACAAAAAAAACAAAAAAAACAAAGATCCAGCAACTATGAGCCCCCCAACCTTTCTCTGGAATCTTTGTTTTTTTTGTTTTTTTTTGTTTTTTCGGTTTTCAGTTATGGAGTTTAATTTTGTGTAGGGAATTTTGTTCTTGGGGTTTGCCTGTGGGAGATGCAATGTTGAAGTGACAAGTGCAGCCATATTTTTTTTCTGGATGGGTAGATTCATGGAGAAAAGTGGCAAAAGGAGACTGCCCAAAACGTGGGCGCTCACAACGCTGCTTTCAGTATATATAATATGTAGTACATTCATACGATATTTAAAAGCAGTTGCATACCTGTAACAGTCCGCAACTGAATAACCGCTTCACTCATCCTCACTTTGGTTCCCGCGCCTTGTCCTCTTCGCTCCTGGCTTTCACTGCAGGCGGCTGATGGTACCTATCCAACTCAAATTGGCCGGTTTTTCGGAGCCAAACCCAGCGATGCAGTCAGATGAGAACAAATATAATACAAATATTGGTTTCAGTAAATTCCGATATTCTAAAGTCAAAGATTGGCAACCGCGAGACAAGCCGCAAAAAATGCTGTGAAATCACAGTCATGCCTCGGAACCTCAGATACAGTATGCCAAAAATATCCCAAAACCATTACATTGTACCACTTGCTCTAAAGCTGGTGCCTGCGCAGCAGCTCTTCGTATGAAAGCCTCGATGCAAAAGTTCACAGCAACAGAATTTGAAGGGGAACATCTGTCGAAACAGCCAGTGAAACTTGAAAGTGGTGCTAACAATGTCTGTCTGGCAGTCAGATTATGTCAGATTCACGTAGCAAAACTACTAGTGTGACAACATCAAAGAACAACTTCTTGTCGGCCATTGCAGCACTTGGTCACCAATTATTTCCCAACATGCGATTCATGTGTAGGATCCAGGCGGCGTACTGCGTTTTTCCGGTTCAGCCAGCAATGCAGAGGCTGGTGTCTCGGCCAATTCTGGCCGTGCAGCCAATTCCTGATGCTTCAAACATGTTCTAACTCCCCATGAGCGATCTCTTCTCCGATCAAACTAAAGGACATTCTATGCCAAACCAAGGACTCTAGGGACATGTTTACTCTGTCTGCAGCTACGTGACATGATTCACTTTGTCATATTGTCATTCCTATTTATTCTTATTCCATCATGCCGTTATACTACAGTATTTCATACTGAGTCGTACTGTCATATCTGTCATACAGTCACAATTAATGACTCTCTCAATGAGACCCCTTGCCTGTCGCCGACGATATTCGGCCGGCTCCATTGGCCCCTTGCAAGCCTGTTTACTTACTCGCGCACTGCGGAAATGCGTTCCAGATCGTTCCAGGCTGTTCCAGGCTGTTCCAGACTGTTTTGCAGTAGGTTGGCGCAACAAATTGTTTTGTCTCTTGCACCTCGCCCAAACATGATCACCTTCTACAACCTCTACAACTCAATTTTCACATGTTTCATCATAGTTCATTCCCTTGCAGCACTTCGCAGCACTTCGCAGCACTCCGCACCTTTTGCTCTTTGGCTTCCTTTGCGATGCCTTGGAGCAGCTGCTCTCGCGTCAATGTGCCTGACAGATCCCTTCGCAACAAAAGGATTGATGTCTCAACACTGACGTTGACAATATCTGACAATCATTGACAGTGATATCTGCGACTATCATTGTGCCATTCCAAAGCGGCAGAGACTGCACACACACAACAGCTTGCGAGGAAGATGAGATAAGGTGATATAAGAGGAGTAAGCACTCAGGAAGAACCCTTTGGCTTTGACGAACACAGTGAGGCATGGAAGGCAGGGAGATCATTGGTTGATCCTCTACGTTGCACCTGTCGAAGTTTCATCGGCTTTGAAGGCCTAATATGTCCCGTGCCAATTCATGACAACACCAAGTAATTAATTAGGCATCAACGAACTACGAATTCCAAGATATTCCCAAGTGCATGACATCGGCTGCATGTCTGAAGCCGAACTTGCAGCCTATATTTTGATCTACTGTATGGTCTTGTAGCACAGAGTTGAGTAGCGGACAATTTTTTTGGTTAAATTTGAAACCATGCACAAATTAGGGGCGTCCCCTATCGGTTGTGAGGATTTCAGTACTCCAGGAGGTATCACAAATGAGGTACTGTATCGGTATAGGGTCGTCCCCTATCGGTTATGAAGGCTTTGTGCAACCTCAAAAGGGCCAAGGCCAAGCAAAACTAAATTATATTAGTATTACAATTGTGTCGGTTACCCATTTAATGACAGAGTGCATCAGATTTGTCAATGTGCCAAGGTTTTAAGGCTGCAGCAACCTAAACGTCTAACATCGTCCAACAATCGTCTAACAAAAGGCAAATTCAATATGACATGCCATTCATTTGGCGATTAAACCTTGGAATCCCTGGAAGGACATGGAAATGCTTGCCTAATATGTGATGTGTTTGCGTACTGCATATGCACTGATGCTGTGCTTATCTGTGCAATAAAAACTAACAAACACTTTCAAATAATATGTGTATATATATATGTCTGTTTCGGAGGGTGCAGGTACAGCTGTCGCAGGAGAAACATTCGAGTTCATCGAGACTCCAATGCACAGCGGTATCAAAGGATGTGCAACGAGGCAATAAACTCCACTTTCTTGATCTATCTCACTCTCTAATAATGAAGATGCAAAGATACAGTAATTATACTCTGAGGTTACACACACTTGAAAGACCGTATGTCGTATGGAGTCCTGATTGGTCCATCGTCTGTCTTTCTTGTCAATTTTATGACATCTGGGAATGAAACCCCAGAAAGGCCTTGCGCCGCGTGACTGAGTCACTGATCCAACAATTGTTTTGTAAGATGACATTTAAAAAAAAATCATGTCTCGGGGTTCTCGGCTTAGCCCCTTGCCATACCGACAGATTAAAATAAAAAATGAATGGCAGGTACGTCCCTGGACATCTCCAGTGATATCAGTGTCGCATGCAAGCCTCTTCGTTGGGCTGGTACTTGCATGGACAACCAGCCCCCCTGCTACTATGAAACATGTTTGGAAAGGATCAACTGCTTCGACTAGCCCTTAGAAACAGGGTGTGACCCCACGCACGCAGGCCGTTTTGTCGCCAAGGGTCTGATGCCTGGCAGCTTGGACCTCAATGTTTGTCAATGATCATGGTCGAAAATCCTATAAGAACCCAAATGAAACATCAGCATGAGTCAGTATTGTTCCTTGTCCCGTTTTCTTTTCTCGCTCTTTTCTCGCCGTTTTCTTGGACCATCTTTTGACTCCCATTTTTATTAGTAATCATGGAGCAAGCTCCGAAGTTGCTACCGTAGAGGCAATCATGGAATCGAAATCCCCAATCAGAGACCATTTTCTTCAGGCAATCATGGGATCGCAATCCCAAATCAGAGGCAATCAAGTACTGATCAGAGTCACATGGTTTTAATCAGAGGAAGTTAGTACAAAAGTCCGTTGGGGAGTCTTTGTAGGCTCAATCAAGTGAAGAAATCAAGCTTGTCACAGGAAAGAAATCACCGTAATGTCGATAAGGCCTTGTTAGTGCTGAACAAGGACAGATGAATCAAGAAGAGTTTCATGATGGGAAAACCCATCAAATCAGAGGAAGGAATCCGAGGCCGGCAAATCACCGGATCACGACACGACCGCACCATGACGGAACCTCGGCCGAATACACACTTGAAAGACCGTATGTCGTATGGAGTCCTGATTGGTCCATTGTCTGTCTTTCTTGTCAATTTTATGACATCTGGGAATGAAACCCCAGAAAGGCCTTGCGCCGCGTGACTGAGTCACTGATCCAACAATTGTTTTGTAAGATGACATAAAAAAAATCATGTCTTGGGGTTCTCGGCTTAGCCCCTTGCCATACCGACAGATTAAAATAAAAAAATGAATGGCAGGTACGTCACTGGACATCTCCAGTGATATCAGTGTCGCATGCAGGCCTCTTTGTTGGGCTGGTACTTGCATGGACAACCAGCCCCCCTGCTACTATGAAGCATGTTTGGAAAGGATCAACTGCTTCGACTAGCCCTTAGAAACAGGGTGTGACCCCACACACACACACACCCTCTCAATCTTTCACGACCCATGAAATTCTTGGGTTACATTGCGGAAAGAAAGAAAACTTAGCGTACCAAGGCATTGTATGCACGACCATCATGATCTAATTCTATGCTCAAGTACGAAGCAATTGTCACAAGTTGGCAATCAAAGTAAGGAAGCATCATCTTCTAACAAAGGTCATGTTCTACGAATAATGCTTCTAATCATACGAGTAAGTAGGCAGAGGGAATAATTCAAAAGCGGGCAAAGCCGCGTTTTGGATCTTTGGCTGCTGCAGAGAAGATACAATAAAGACCCTGGCACAATGAAATACAGCTCAAATAGTCATAAATAATCGCTATAATTCGCTATAATTCGCTATGTAACTCTATATAACTGCATCTGACATCACGCTCTGTTTCGCTTGGAATTGCTGGGTATGCTCTGCGCTCTGAGGCCACTGAGGCGATGTCAGAGATGGCAGAAGGACCGTATCCAGCTCCGCCTGACATGCGACCCGATGTCGGCAAGGCGATGCCGAGACTGTTGCAGTCCAGTGTTGATTTTGTTGAATCCGCATCTAGGGTCTATGTCTGATATCTTTGCTTAAAGATTTCAAAATATATCAAATATCTCGTATTATCATATCTCTATTTCTAATGCCAACACCGGATTAATAACCCCCCCCAGAAGGTCAGGGTAGACCTTGTGGAGCCCCCCTTAATAATAAGCATCTTCTGAACCATAAAACTTTGGATATGGCTTACGTCAATTAGATCTTCATAGAATTCCATTGGATTTGATCAGATTTGATTGTTAAAATCTCATGGCTCAGAAAGGGAGTTGATTAATAAGGGGCAAACCCTGGTTATTATTAATGGGGGACATGGGCTGATGGGGGGTACCCTTTGGGAGCTATCCAAACTGATGATTTTTAAAAAGATTTTAATTAGAAATCGATCATTTGGGGAATGGCTGTTTTTTGAAATTTTCAATGATCAACTTAAACCTTAAGTATAACAATGATGAGTTCTGAGATTGATGAGATAAAAAGAATTGGAAATAAAAAATGTCGGATGAGAAAATGAGATTTCAACACTGGTGGTTTATTAATCGGGGGTATGCCACAGTGTTTATTAATCTGGGGGGACCACCTGTTTTTAAATTGCATTTTTTGGGGGGGAGGAGGAGGTTGATTAATAACGGGATGTTGATTAATCCTGACTTGACATTATGGGTTAAACAAACATTTCAAATATATCGTATCTCAATTACTCTGGGTGAAACAAAAAACATGTCACCCAGGCCAAGTGCGAGCCACAAGCACCATCCGTGTTCCGATCTTCATCTTATTTTTCCTTGGGCCTGACGCCGATGACTTTTGCTTGGCTTGGAACTCCTGAGCTGAACTCAAATCAAGGTCCTGGAGTCCTGCTGAAAAATAGACAAGAAGAGAGGTGTGTGACATTTACTGTATATAACATTATATAACATTCTTTAACGTGCTTTCAAACAGGTTGCAATGTATGCTTTAAACATGTTGTGAGCAACATGCAACAGCAAAGGCCAGCCTTGAACGCCAAGGAAGCGATGTCAGATGTTTCCAGGCCACCGCCCATCATGCCCCAGAGTGAAAACCAAATCGAAGGTGAGTCTGGAGTCTGATGAGTCTGTCGAGTCTGTCGAGTTCGGAGTGCAATGTCCAAGGTCAGAGGCTTGGTCTTCATTAAATCACTGGTGCAGTAATAGCAAATTACATGAAATAATGAAATAATATGAAATATATCTTGCTGACTGCGGCGTTGCAAGCAAGCAAACAACTGCTCGCGCAACCTTGCTCGCAGAACTAGAAGGACCCATTGAAGTTGTGAAACGGGTATCTGGATTTCCAGACAAAAATGGTTGACAGTTGATACATATTGACATATGTCGAAATCATGTTCACGCTATTTCTGTGTGACGCCAGCTCATAACTGGATGAGCCGAGCAGGGCCGCGCACGAAAGGGAACCAGTGGGAAAATTGGAGATATTGAAATTCAAATTGACATGTCAAGAGTGTGTCGTTTGGAATTTCAAGTTGCACTTACATCATCTTACATCCTTCTGAAATTGATGTGGCAATGTAAACAGAATGTCCTCGAAACACGACTGCAGGTTTATGGATGCAAGCTAGCTGGGACTACCAGTGGCAATAACTTCTTCTTGTCCCTTGATGTCACTCGATGTCACCTCTGTCTATGGGTCATGGTATGTCAGCACGATTCTTTGCGACCCAGGAATTGATCAAGGCGTGAGAAGAAACCCTCTGACATAGGTGCCTGATGGAGTCATAGATGGTTTTGAAATGAGGAAACATGAAATGTCTGCCAGCACGAGATGAATTAAAACTCATTGCAGCACAATTCCATGCAATTTCTAAGTTTCTTGCCTCTGGCGCGAGGAAATCTAGAATCGGATAAACGTGAACCTGTCCATCTTCGCAGTGCGCCAAGACTTCCTCGACAGCGCAGGCTACTGTAAGATGAGAGTATTTGTTTCATGGCGTGACAGATGAAACCGGCTCACGAGGTGAACCTATTGGCAAAGGAGACTGCTTACAGTGAAAAAAGTAGCTACAGTACCTACTCAAGGCAACAGGCAATTAAGGGACGAAAGCTAGCTGAGTAAAATTCATAGGGCTGAGTAAAATTCATAGGAAGCACTCATGCTGATACAAAAAAGCACTGGAGAAAAAAATGTGGATATGTAAGGTAGCCAAAGGCAATCGTTGGCAAAGATCATGGTGATGGTGATAGTAATGGCGATGGCGATGGCGATGGCGATGATGATGATGATGATGATGATGATGATGACGATGATGATGATGACGATGATGATGATGATGATGAAAATGATGATGATGATGATGATGAAGATGACGATGATGATGATAATGATGATGATGGTGATAATGATGACGATGATGGTGATGATGGTGGTGGTGGTGGTGATGAAGGTAATGGAGATGGAGATGGAGATGGTGATGGTGATGGTGATGGTGAAGATGATGATGATGATGATGATGATGATGATGATGAAGATGGTGATGATGATGTTGATGATGATGGTGATGGAGATGATGATGATGATGATGATGAATATGATGATGATGATGATGATGGTGATGATGATGATCATGGTGATGGTGATGATGATGACGGTGATGGTGATGGTGATGGTGATGTTGATGGAGGTGGTGATGGTGATGATGATGGTGATGGTGATGATGATGATGGTGATGATGATGATGGTGATGGTGATGATGATGGTGATGGTGATGATGATGATGGTGATGATGATGATGATGACGATGATGATGATTTCGATTTAATTGTCCAAGACTCCACTCCACTCTTCTCTAACGCTTTTTCAAGTCGCTCGATCTGGCTGCGGAAGACTTCTGCACCAGCATATTCCAGCAACACCTTAGCACTGGAAGTGTTTATGCTTGAAGCTGAAATATCATTTGAAAACGAGAAAACAACACTATTTCAAATGGGGCGAGACGGCTTTGCATGACACGTAGCTGGCGGAAAATGCTTCGGCCATTCGGTGCGACGTGCTGGCGAAACAGCCGGGTCCTGAAGTCTATGGGATTTGCATGGCCATGGGATGGTTTGATGCATCGTATCATGGTGGTGTTGCTGTATCCTGGCATCGCCATAGCATCCATAGCATTTCAAACCAAGAAGTTTCACCAAGAATAAACGAGTTTTCTTAACAAGTTCTCTTGCTCAGTCCGCTCTTTTTCCCAGGTGCGCAACTCTTTACCACCCTAGGCAACCCTCTTCTGGCTAGTGGGGTCAACTCCTTGTTCGGTTGGTGTCCCAACCTTGTTGCCAGGTTGCTCTTTTTGGGTTCCCGAAGGTGTTCCAGCTTGTCTTTCAACAGACTTTGTGTACAAACAACATTTCGGGTGATGTGACAAGTGGATGCTGGTCTGCTGAGCTTGACTGATGCCACCAACTGCCAAAATAGTGTTGGGATCATCCCTGTACTAGTGCTGCTTGCCAAGACAAGTTCCACATGGCAAGCAATGCTCTCAAATGCTCTCCTCCAGGGATGCAGTGCCGGCATAGATCTCTGCAACTACACCTGCTTGTTCTGCAGGAATGAAATCAATGTCCTGCGGTGGAAATTGGGCGGACTCAGCATAACTCGGCATAGCACCGCGTCTCTGCTCAGGTGTGACCAGGTGCAGTGGAACAAAGTTTTGAAATAGTTTGATTTAGTTTGCACAACTTGCAGGCAGCTGTTACTTAGCTTTTACCCACTGTCTGTTTGAAGTCCCGCTAACAGCGCAAGGGAGGTTTCGGTGTCTGCGCGCCTCAAATTGAACCCAAGACTCGCTTGAAGTGTCTGACAAGTCAACCCAAGGCGAAAGAAGGACCACACCTTGGGAATCTGACACCATCTGACATCTTACTACATAATCGTACTGGCCTCACCCCGGCATCTCGCCGTTTGTGGCTTGGGCCGTGGCCGGATGCTTTCAGATTGGATCCCTGGCAGACGTCGGTGCTGCTGAAATCTTTGCCGCAAGACTCAAGCCTCCTTGTCCAGGAGTGAACAAGCACAGCCAAACTGACCCAAACTTTTTTGAAAGTGTGGCATCATTGCCTCTTCGCATGCCTTCCTTGCAACCTCAAGGGCCAAGTTGCCACCGGCGCTGTCCTCAGTTTTTGAACACTCAGATCCATTCAATTTTTTTTGGGGGGTTCATGCTCTTGTGGATGGATGGATGGATGGACGGACGGACGGACGGACGAACGGATGGATCTGTGCAAGCACTAGCACAAGCACCTGTAAATACAACATTGTGAGACACTGCCGGCTATCCTCTTCCTTCTTTCTTTCTTTTTTCCTTCCTTCCTTCCTTCTTTCTTTCTTTCTTTCTTTCTTTCTTTTCTCTCTTTCTTTCTTTCTTTCTTTGCTTTCTTTCTTTCTTTGCTTTCTTTCTTTCTTTCTTTCCTTTCTTTCTTTCTTTGCTTTCTTTCTTTCTTTCTTTGCTTTCTTTCTTTCTTTCTTTCCTTTCTTTCTTTCTTTGCTTTCTTTCTTTCTTTCCTTTCGTTCTTTCTTTCTTTCTTTCCTTTCTTTCTTTCTTTCTTTCCTTTCTTTCTTTCTTTATTTGTTTCTTTCTTTCTTTCTTTGCTTTCTTTCTTTCTTTGCTTTCTTTCTTTCTTTCTTTCTTTGCTTTCTTTCTTTCTTTCTTTCTTTCTTTGCTTTCTTTCTTTCTTTGCTTTCTTTCTTTCTTTGCTTGCTTTCTTGCTTTCTTTCTTTCTTTCTTTCTCTCTTCTTCGTCTTCTTCTTCTTCTTCCTGGAGGCCCTGTTGCTGGGAAAGCGGCCATCCTTCCTTTGTCGTGTGTGTGTGATTCATCTCAATAGATGTAAAAGTTGTACCCAACTAATTTTTGCAGGGGGAGATGGAGAGGACATGTGAGGCTCCATCCAACGAAGCTCCTCATATGATCCTAGGATATCACTGGTCACCAGGGACGCCTGGGACGTACCTACGGCACGATCTCAATTTCAATCAACCGGCAAACCGGCATGTCGATTTTCTACGCCTGATTTCTGCATGGTTTCCGCAATCTGAATCTTCAATGCTTTGCTATGAACTGGTACTTCATGGGTCTTGGAAAGGGGAAGGGACAGCTACCGATCGGATTGGACAACAGTTTGTTGCATGAATTCAGGTATTTACAACGATGATTCCTCCTGCTTTCCTTGTATTTCTCCTTCCTGTCAGGTACAATATAAGTGCGTTTTTCATCGTTTTGCGCGACAGACGCACTCCACTTCACAGTTCGATAAGACAGTTCTGAGCAAGTGTGTCACTCATGTCGGTTTCGACAAGATGACCTGAGCCCTTCGGGGAATACCTTTCTAGGTAGTACAACGGATCCGTGAATCTCTGAAACCTGGAGTTTAGTACGTGACAAGGTTCAGGCTTCAGGTGTGGTCACTTTCTTTTGATACCCTGGCCAGGTACAGTTGTGCGCTAATTCAAGGGTCGACGACGTCAGCTGTAAATGGGGTTGTCTTGAACTCTTTGGCCATTGAGCCTGATGTACCGATCCTGCATGATTTTGTGGATGCATCAATTTTCATCGACTAGTCCCCCATTTGGCCCCTTATTATTTCACGCGCGCTCCCTCCTTCAGGTAGGCTGAGTCCTGTGCGTGCTTCGGTAAGAATAGGTTTCGCCGGGGTAGATTGGTTCAGGCGCTTCCGTTCTTCCCCCCCTCCTCTGGTCTTGTTCCGTGTCCGTCAGCCTCCGCTTTTCTCTTCTCTTGCCCTTTCAGGGTTTGCCCGCTCCGGGCGAGGTGTGTTGTGTTGGTGTTTGCTCCTTCCCTCTTCTTCGCGTTGCCCTCCTCGTGTCCCGGCTAAGTATTCTTCACTTCCATGTCCTTTTCATCTTCACTTTCATCTCATTCGTCGGTACCTTACTTGTCCCACCCTCCTGTGGGAGGGGGGGGTGTGGGAACCATCTCCATAGTCCATAGATGTAAAACTTGTATCCAACTAATTTTTGCAGGGGGAGATGGAGAGGACATATGAGGCTCCATCCAACGAAGCTCCTCGTATGATCCTAGGATAGCACCAGGGACGCCTGGGACGTACCTACGGAACGATCTCAATTTCAATCAACCGGCAAACCGGCATGTCGATTTTCTACGCCTGACTTCTGCATGGTTTCCGCAATCTGAATCTTCAATGCTTTGCTATGAACTGGTACTTCATGGGTCTTGGAAAGGGGAAAGGACAGCAACCAATCGGATTGGACAACAACTTCTTTGACGGATTGTCAAGTATCTACAACGATGATTCCTCCTGCTTTCCTTGTATTTCTCCTTCCTGTCAGGTATAATATAAGTGCATTTTTCATCGTTTTGCGCGACAGATGCACTCCACTTCACAGTTCGATAAGACAGTTCTGAGCATGTGTGTGTGTGTCTGTGTGTGTGTGCCTTGGGTCCTTGTGTTGTTTTCCCACTTGCATCTGATCACCCTCAACTGACACCACAGTGCGTTACATGAGAAACATACTGTTTTAACTCTGACAAGGACCAACGCTGCCTTTGCCACAGGGTCGCTTGGGATGCAGATGCACGGGCTTCTTACAGTTTGGGCTGCACGATAACAGATCGTTGGAGGTTGCCTTTACATTGGCTTTCGGCTGTCATAGTGCTTGCTTTTGCTTTTGGCTTCGTGTTCCAACAGCTTTACGGTTCTTGCTTTTGTGTTCCAACAATTTTGCTGTTTTTGCTTCTGATTTTCCGAATCTTCCTTTTGGCGGTTTTTCTTCATCAGCAGCCGAACTGAAGTTCTGCAAACTGGAAGGGTCGAGTCGATTCCTCCGCATGGTATTCCGATGCTCTGATGCATGTGGCCCCCATCCAGGCTGAAACATCGCTTGTTTGCAGCCCAGCAGCGCCACCCAAAAAAACGTCTCTGTGCTTGTTGTGCAGTGCCTGATCCGTGACTCAGACCATCGGGATGTGCAGTATGCAGCCTAGCCACATCATTTGCAATGCTGGTTGCTAAAAAAAACGTGTTGTTGATGGTTGTTGAGAAATACAACAAAGTATGCAAGTAGAAAAACGAGATCTATGCACCCGAAGTCAGCAAAGAAACTATCCGAATGGGAGGCAATGAGGAGCAGCCAGCATGTGCCAGCCAAAGTCACACCTTGAAGCTGTTCCACACGTCCATTCCAGGCTCTGGAAAAGGATTGGATGGTGGTTTCCTTATTCAAGAATACAAAGTGTCTAGGGCCAGAAAAACAATGCTATTTGTAAAGAGGCCCATGTAACACATGCTTGCTCTCTGCGTTTGAACTGAACGCGGAAGAAAAACCTGCAAACAAGGCTCCGGTAGTCTGGACAAAAAACGGAACATTTTGATCGGTCTGCCACCTTTCATAGCTTAACTGCACTGGAGGAGGTGGACAGGAAATGACAGGAACATCAAAATCATCAAATGGGCCTTTGCCAAAAACTGACGGTGCGTTCCCGGTGAACAAAACCTCATCACCCGGTCAGGGTCTTTAAATTGCGCGAAAAATGCTGGCATCCAAAAATATGTTGCTTTGGAACAAAGCACGCAAAGATCAAGTGGACACAAGTCCGAATAAGTCAGAATGCAAAGTGGAGGGACATAAAGCCACCACCATGAGCCCAAAGAAGTAAGGAGTCTTGGTCTCCGTT